CCCCCCCCCCCCCCCTGGGTGTTTGCCATCGGGATTGGGTTTTCGTCGCTTGGCAGTGACGTTGTAATACAAGCCAATTCAGTTCGTGAACTCCGCAACCAGAATACCGTTTTTGTTTACCTCTATTTTGTTTTTGGCGGCATCCATAATGGTGGTCGAGTAGATCATGTTGTGCGGGGTGGAGAACCCTCACTCCGCGCAAGGGGGATGATCGCACCACGTTGTGTTAAAATGGTCAAGCACCCTCGAGGCAGTTACACAGTGCTTACAACTGTCTCTGCAAGTGAAAGCACCAGATAATATATGAAGTCATACGCAGCTATGATTCGTATGCAAGGAAGTGAGCAATAGATGCCGAACACCCTTAGCAGGATGCAGCGCACCCTTCATGCGACCCGCCGAATATCTCACGGCGCTTCGCGCTTGGTGATGTGAGAGCCTGGTCCGGTGAGAACCCGGCGTGCTCCGTCCCGGCTTTGTAGGGATGCGAGGTCAATGGCCTAACGACTACGGCATGGTCGACTATGAGTACACCTCCCCCTCGGTGTTTGCCATCGGGGTTGGGTTTTCGTCGCTTGGCAACGATGTTTTATAACAAGCGGATCACTTCGTGAGCTCGGCAATCACGCTACCGCTATTTATTTTCCTATGATTTTACTTTTGCGATAACGATGGATGGTGGTCGAGTAGGTCATGTTGTGCGGGGTCGAGAACCCTCACTCCGCGCGAAGGGGGTAATCGCACCACGTTGTGTTCAATTGGCCAAGCACCCTCGAGGCAGATACACAGTGCTTACAACTGTCGCTGGGAGTGAAAGCACCAGAAAATAAATGATGGCATACGCAGCTGTCATCCGTACGCAAGGAAGTAAGCAAAAGATGCCGAACACCCTTACCAGGATGCAGCGCACCCTTCATGCGACTCGCCGAATACCTCACGGCGCTTCGCGCTTGGTGATGATGTGAGAGCCTGGTCCGGTGAGAGCCCGGCGTGCTCCGTCCCGGCTTTGTAGGGATGCGAGGTCAATGAATGGTCTAACGATACGGCATGCACGATAATGAGTACCCCAACACACACAATCGACACCGGCATGCGTTAACATGAGTGCACCCTCTCCCATCCAATCCCCTCCCCTCCATTC